ATAGAGGGAGCAAGTTTGATTGCGTACCTTACTCGGAAAACTCATTTCCTCATTTGAAGGAGGGGCCATGTTGAGGATGTCGTCCGGAGTAGAGTCATGGTCTTGTAAGGAGGTAGTGAAATCCAGATTAGGAGTATTGGGAAGAATGCATCGAGTGTAGACACGGACAATGAAAGGAGGACATGGTGCATTTAACGAGACAGGTGACTCCTCAGCGGTAGAAACACTGAGAGAACTATCCATAAGAGTGGGATAGGGGACAGTGTCGAGGAACACAAGCTCCCCCCACACTAGAGGTCGACCTAGAAAAGTATGGAACACTTTCAAAGAAAGACATCAACACTCACATAGATTTTGTTTGTGGTCGGGTCAAGACATCGATACCCATTTTGAGTTGCAGGGTATCCAAGGAAAATACATTTTATGAATTTTGGATCAAGTTTACTCTGAGTAAAGACAGTGTTCCGAATAAAGGCAGTGCACCCAAAAACCTCAGGATCTAATGTGGAGAAGACCCGATTGATAGGGAAGCATGAAATCAGGATTGTTAATGGGGGTCGGAACTTGTGAATTTTGGAGGGGACTCTATTTCTGAGATAGGTGGCATTTGGAATGACATCGTTTCAAAAACTTTTCAGGACATTGGATTGAAACTTAATGGAGTGAGCAACGTCAATAAGGTAACGATTTTTCTCTTAGCTACATCATTTTATTTAGGAGTATCCGTACAAGAACTATGATAGAGGATACCTTTACTAACCAAAAAATTGCTCAAAACAGAGTTGAAAAACTCACGACCATTATTAGTCTAAAGGACCTGAATAGTAGTTTTCAATTGAGTTAAGACCAAAATGTAGGAGTTTTGGAATGTTACAACGACTATCGACTTGTCTTTTAAAATGCAAACTCACGTCATTCGAGTGTGGTCAACAATTAAGGTTAAGAACCACTGCTTATTTATGTAGTTGAGAGTGCAAAAAGGACCCCATATGTCACTGTGAATGAGAGAAAGAAGCGGAATGTATGTGAGGTGTGTAATGAACTCGGTGATGTTTGGCTAACTGACATGTTTCACGACTGAAGTTTGAGAATTTTTTATTAGAAAACACTAAAAGATAAAGCTTTTTAAATATTTAAAAATAGGGTGTCCTAAAAGGCAATGTAACAACATGACGAGACATTCAACAACTCGAGATAAGCTATAACTTTTGAGTGTCTTGTCTTCACTCTCCGTGTTATTTTTTTGCAAGTATCAAAGTCTGGCTATTCTTTTGGCAATCATCTCCTAGAACAAAACAAAATCATCAGAAGAAAAATTAGAAATGCAATCGATATTACCTGTCAACTTGCTGATAGATAATAAATTACATTGTAATTGAGGAACACATAAAACAAACTCCAGAGTAAAATCGGTCGTTAGTACAACCGACTCTTTACCAGCAATAGACTACATGATCCATCAGCAATTTTGATAGTATTTTTTCAGAGTATGGATCGTAAGTTAAGAAAGCTTGCAAGCAGTCAGTCATGTAATTCGTGGCACCTGAATCAATAATTTATGGACTAGAGGAGAAATATACTTTGAGAGTCATAGAAAGAGTGCTTTGTCGGACATGAGAGGTCGACCGACCCACAGAGACTTGATTGGCTCCAAGAAGCTTGGTCAATTGCTTCATCTAATTCTTTAGGGATTCGGAGGATTCTGGGATGTTCCAGACAGGAGTTGGTCCTCCAGTGGAGTTAAGAACACCTTCTGAGAGTGATTCATTTAAAGAATCAGTCATAACTCCGACTGAGCCAAAGGATATGTTGCGAGTCATCAATGAATTTCGGTAGAATCTCAAGACACGAAATTGTAGAAATTACAGGAACCCTTCCTGCAGGAATTGTAGAAATTGAAGGTAGAAGGTAGCAAAAGGAACATTGGAAAACGGAAAGATGTTAGGAATCGGAGTAGAAACAACGGCAAAGGGTAAGAACTGCAGTAGGAACAGCGGCAGAAGGAAATGGCATAAGATGTTCACAGTTGGAATACGAACAACGGCAAAAGGTAAGAACTACAGAAAAACATACAGTAGAAACCCTTCCTAAAAACGACAGAAGATTTCACAACAATAGCGGCAAATGTAGAAGAAACTGCAGCAAAAAAAGGCATCAGGAACAGTGGAAAAAAGGAAACTGTGGCTACTTCATAGCGTCAAACAGGAACAATGCGTTGAGCAACATAAAAAAAGAGGAGGTCAATGGCTATGGTTGAAACTGTTGGAAGGTCGGCTGCTAGAACCGACAGAGGAGGTAGTAGGCTGTTGGATCTAGGGTTAGGCTTTGATATAGTGTTGAGAATTGAAATATACTAGCACACTTTTATTGATAGGATGAGGAGTATTTAAACTCAATTTCAATAGGTATAATAAAGAAAATCAATAGAAACAAAATTAAAAAACAAGGAAAGAAAATAAAATAGAATAAAGCAAAAAAGGAAAAATATAATCAGAGTATAAAATCAAATAATAAGTAATAATGGTATAATTTAATAACATCCTCATTCATATTCTTATTTTTTTTTATAAATAGATCAAAAATAATTAAAGCCATCACACCAAAGTATAAATTTATCTTCCAATAATTTTAATTGATATTATCAATCAATTTTTATTAAAATTTAAAGCCCGATAAAATACACTAGGATGCTTTTTTTTTTCTTTCGTATGCAAAATGTGAAGCGAATCTTTCTTAAACTAAAATGCATATGAATTGTATATCATATATACACATATTATGTGTATAAAGTAAAATTTAATCAAGGCTAAATAGTATCACATAATAATTTCCAACAAATATACTGAATCACTCAAATAAAATAATAAATATAAATTATTTAATGAATAAGTTATAAATTTATATGAAATATAAAATGAATATGATGTGCATATCTAGTTTGCCATCTATCTTCAATAGTTAACTTGTAAATTCTAATTTCTACCCATTTCTGTTATGCATAGGGATCACAAAAAAATTAAAATTCTTTCGTAAATTAATTAAAATTTCAGGAAGTTCAAAATTTAACAGCAAAATTAAAAGCAAAAAATTTAAATTTAAAAATTATATTTGTTCAACACAAAAACTTAAAGTAAATACATAAAATCTCAAGTCCCACAAAATAACACATGCCATCATCCTCTCTTTCATTCACATAATCTCTCTCTCCCATAGGTAGAATTTCATCATCTTCAAAACCTTTTTCTTCTTTAGAGTCAACCTAACCTTCGTTTTCCAAATAAAAAAATAAATGTAGGTCAAGATGAACTATCCTTAATTGTAAATGAACTTCCACTTCATTTTTATTTACTAAATCTTAAAGAATACTTTCAATAAACTTCTATTGATACTAATTAATTTGCTACCAAGTTAGTTTCATAATCACCAAAACATTCCTATTTAATATCCTATATTTGGCTAATTATTCGCTCACAAATTTCCCTAATATACTCCAAACTAATTGGATCAATAACAATTCTTAAATTGAATCACTTTTTCAATGTTAGGTTGTACTAAACATCAATTTGTTTAAATGCATTGATCCTAATTTCACTTCTTCGCATCAATGTGTGGAAATAAAATCAATATGAAATGTGTGTGTGTGTGTGTGTAGATAATTCCTCTCACAACCAATAACAATACAAGTCAAACACAACTTTTTAACCGCCATTTTTTTTATGAAGCTAGGATTAAAGCGTCATGCATCTCACCAATTCATTGTATTCAAATTACATCATTACATTCCAAATAAAAAACTCTCATCAATTACATAAGTTCCAAATTTTGTAACATTGATAAAAAAAATCTAATTAAAATTTATTATACATTGCAAAAGGCAAACTTAGTTCACAAATAAGCTTCCAAACTAGATGTAAATAGAGACCTTTGGATTAACCCATGTCCTCATTTGGGTCTTCCACCAATCTATCAATAACTGCATAAAATCCCTCTCTTAATTGAATATCTACTTCTAATTTAGTTTTGTACTTGTAAAAAATTTTGGGTTAAGATAGTAACTGATATGATGAAATGGGTTGGCCATCATAACTCCGCCTATCATTAAAGACATGACAGGCTTGCTTGTATTTCTTTTCCTCTACCAAAATGCACCTTAATTATATAATTCATTATATACATCACATCATAAATATAACCCATAGATAACATCCTGTCCTGATCAACTAACCTCAACATCTTGAACAATAAGTTTATGACTTTCAAAGCAGAGGCATTCCAGAATGTAGCCTTAGCAAAGTTTCATTAGCTTTTTTTCCCTAATAATCTAACAATAAATAGGAAGTTGTTCCAATCTTTAGAGACAAACATGCATCTTAAATTTTCTTTTTGTTGATTTGTGCTCAAAATAAAATAGTTACATGTATAACCTAATAGTTTGTAGATCATGATAATATATTTGGCCCTTAAGGAGCTCGATGAAAAGCTAAATTGACTATTTAAGATAATCAAAAAATATTTTTGCCAAACTGGCTTATTGAATTAACCGCTGATAAGCCGAGATATCTAACCAAGATGATCTGAACTCACATGTCAAACCTAACTATTTTAGAAGTCGGCTCACCACTTGAGTTGGGTTCGATCAAGGAGGATCGGCTATAAATCAATGACAGTTGGCGGTGAGTTTCAGTAGCATCGGGTGCGAGAGCAGAGAGCGAGGGAGAAAGAGAGAGAGAGAGAGAGAGAGAGAGAGATCTAAAGTGACAGGTATGCATGAAAAATGAGAGGGGGGAGGGTCTGCTGGCCTGAAAATGGGTATTATTTTTATTTTTATGCCCCATCACGGCCGTTGCATATGAGGGAGAGGATTATATTTTCTTTTTGTTTTTTATTTATTTGAAAAAAAAAGGATCAGCACAATTACCTCAAACTATGTAGTCCTTAACATAAATTATGGAACCAAAGAAAAAACTATGCACTATTTGGAGCCACAGAATTGTACTCACACTGATACAATGACCTTGGTCGAGCCAAACTCAGCATATGCTGACCCTGATGCAACACTTGCTGCACCTGTTCTGAGAACTGAAAGACAATAATTAGCCAACTCAGGAATGGATAATGTATTTAACCATTATATTAAGTATTTTAAACAAGAAAATTGTGTGACAAAGAAAATAAGAGAAATACAAGTTGATGATCATAGATCTGTGATTTTGTAAGATAAAAGAACGGCTACAATCGACAGTATTTAATGCAACATCACCAGAAAAGTACCCATTTTAGTTCAAACTGGCATGAAACTGACAAACTGAGACATTTACAACTCTAAACTATATAATATATTACTTTCCTAATTTTTCATGAGCATTTAATGTTTATTAGGTGTTAAAACATAAAACTGTTAGTTGCTTCAAATAAAAACCAACAATTAAGTTTGAAGACATCAACAAGGTTACAAGAAATGCTTGGTCAAATGAAAATGGCCCATAATGTGATATCTACAAACTTCAGCAATGCATTTGAGTGGAACATGTGGTTATCAATGCATGAATAGACAATAATAACACTAAGCACAGAAGTGTCTTCATATCAACCCATGCTTTTGCCATTACTTCGCATCAAATTGCAAAAACGCTCTTTGCAATCATCTACAGTTAGAATGCCAATACACAGCAAATTCAAGAAAACAAAATTGCAAGCTTCTGTGTCAACAGCAAAAAAAGGTAGCAAGCAACCAACGACATAGTAGCAATGATCATTCGGGACAAACTAACAAAAACTCATGTTCACCCAGCATTAGAAAAGGCAGTTGAAATACACACACAAACGAATAAATACTAAACATAAATAAACATAAACGAGACCTTTTATGGTAAAAAGCATCGACCATCTAGTGCACAATAGTGAAAATAGAAAATTCATAAAATAAAACTTTACGAAGTGGGTCAGATATGTACAGGCGGGTCTGCACTGATGGAAATTCCGACCATCGGATCGAGCCCAATCAACTTCTTGAAAAGTTTTCCTTTTCTGTTCTTGTTGTTTCCTTTCCAAGCATTGCGATGGTGAATAGGTCCCAGATGTTCCAGTAGCCATCTCGGAGATTTCTGGAGCTCTTTCCGCCTTAATGTCCTTCTCGTTTGTCCTGAGAAGTGATTTGTCATTCCTCATCCAACAAAACAGAACAATTTCAGCAACATAATAACTGACACTTTGACTTTCCTGAATTATGATTGAGATAATAACCTATATTAAGGGTTAATTATAAACAACAATATCCACCAAAAATACATTAGAGCGATTAAAAATCTTGAAATCCATTTAGATTATTTTCTAAACAGAATAAAATAAATAATATCATACAAGTCACATGAGCTCGAATGTAAAAACTAATACCAGCCACTATAAAGCATGCATACTAAAATCAGAATCTGAGATAGCGCCAACTAGATAGTGCATGTTTAACGGATGTGTTAATCAAAATGCAGAATGGAAACAAATGAGAACCATTTGGTATGAGAAGGCTTGCTATAAGCAAGGAAAATATTGTAAGAGCCAACGCAAAGCATGCATATAGGCAAAAGATGTGAAGGATGCATCCTAGATAATAAAATGAATCTCCGCAGTGCAACCAACATTAGGGGCATCATGATAGCTAGTGAAAGCAACGCTCCCACTATAAGCTATCAGCTCCAATTGTGAACCAATTGATTCCGGTAAGCATTTGCTAATCCAAGCAGTATGTACCTTGATCTACTTAAGAGCTAATCATTAATTACAAAGCTTTTTATCCCTGAAAAATTATTGAATGATTGTATATATCGATCATGTAAATTGTAAAAAAATCATGTCTCAATATCATAACATTGAAACCTAGCAAAAGTGCAGTTGTCAATACGCAAATGATCTACAAAAAACATGATCGACAATAAATGCACTATGTTTAAATGGCACAAGATAGTTTGCTTTGCATGATGAGGTAAACTACTACAAATGTTCAAATAAGCATATTGAGGTAAATATGCAAAAATGCAAGAATCAAATCAAATCTACATAAAACATGCACCAAAAAGCATACATATGAATAATTCCATGCAGAAAACCACACACACAACAGTTCAAAGGAGGCTCTACTCATCAATACCACTAGCCTATAGCAAATTATGAAACTTAATTTGGGCCCTTACTATGCGCAATATTAGCCATTACCAATCTTAGACTTTTGATCACCCAAATACTCAAAAAAAAATTATTGCACAAAACTTGAAACCAAATAATAAGACACACATAACCTTTAGTTAGCATGGAAGTGTATGCATTAAGGGCCTGTCTAGTAACGGGTTTACAGCAGGATTTAAGCTGGATTTAACCTAAAAATTCCCTTAAGCAGTTAAAGCTCAGGTTCAACCTTCGGAATAAAGGACTTAACTATGTGATTTCGGGGAGATTAAAAAATTAGTAATTCATCAATCATATATTATTCTAACATAATTTAATTGGGAATTCATCTCAATTGTGTTCTTCATAGACTATTAAATTGCTTGATGTTTAATTCTAGGTTTGCCTCTACGTAAACCTCATTGATGAAAGGTGGTTCATTCTATGCAAATTGTCACATTGAGAGTTTAATTTAAATAAATCTAAGCTTGTGATTGTCATTACCCGGCCCGGGAGTTTGGAATACCAAGACGAAAACGGACGGCCGAACAATATCTAAACATTTTCATTGTTTAAACAAAACCATTTAAAACGTAAAAGAGACATCTATATACATGACTTTAATTTACAAAATTCATTCAGATTTAAAACTTTTACAACTTGTAGCAAAGTAAAAATCGAAATGTTATATCTACTCTCTGGGCTCCTCGAATTTGTACACATAATTTTTAGGATTTATCTACTCTAAAGGAGACTTTCTTGAAAAATTGTAGCAACTGGATGTATAAGTTAAACTACTAAATGAGTAAATATCTCTAAATTATAATAACTCATGTTTTAAAATATTTTATATAAACTAAAACAATAAATTTATAGTTTTATAAAGTAGACAACTAAGTCAGTACCATATGGGGGTGACTACATATACATATACATAAATCATATTTTCATTCTTTCTTTTATCTAATAGTTATTTTAAATAATTTTAGCATATGAAAAGTACAACATTTACAGTTTAAAAGAAAATAATAAAAGTGGTGAAAATATTTGTAGTTGATTTTAAAAAAATAATAATAATAAAATAAAAAAATATTTACCCACTTGCATAACACCATCGCTTGCCTTTTCTTCAAATCAAATTAGTCATTTGATGTAACCACGGTAACACATTAGATTTGATTAGTTTCTACCATAATTTTGTTCAATCTTTCATTTTAATTCATACTTAATTGCTATTATTATTATTATTATTTATTCATACATTCATGTTTAATTTATTAATATATATTGTGATTAAGATAATAATATCAAAAGTAAATCAATTAACTTCCAAAATTTTCAATTACATCATAATATTTTGGCATGCATGAATTAGAAGCAACAAAATTAGGTTTTTAAACATAGAGTTCTTATATTTTGTCTTTAGTTTAACATGAATTAGTTGAGAAAATAACAATTACGTATTTAAATCAGCTTCATACTTGAACTTCCTCCCTCATAGCAAAGAATCTTTTATGATTTAGTTTTCTCACCAAACCCCTATAGCAAGATTTTACAAAATTTCAAAATTTTGATTTAGGGTTTCTGAAATTTCTCAAAACTTTTGCAAAAATTAGAAAACAAAAAAAATCAATTTTGAAATGCTTACTTAACACAAAAAAACCTTTTTTTTCCTTGCTGCCCTACGGTTTCCCTTCAATCGGAGCTTACAGTTGCTCGGTCGCACATGTTCTTCCGGCAGTAAGAACTTCTGCTTGTGCCACTCGAGACGCATGAGTCATCATGAGCGATCGCCTTCCTGGACGATCGCCGCTTCCCCCTTCAGTGATCCTTGAAGCTCACGGTCTCGCTTATGAGGCCGAAGGGAGCGCCGCTCGTGCACAATCACCCTTCCTCCCTCGCTCGTTCGCGTGGAAAACACCCTAGCTCGGCTTATCTGTGGGAAATGCCGGCTTGCGTAACTGCGAAATTGTCGCTCAATCCACCCTTCCCTCCTTCTCGCACTTGCTATCTCGCCCTCTCTGTCTCTCGCGCGTTCGGTTTGAATGAAAGGAGGGAATAATTTCCCGTAGGCGGTGCGGGGACAAAGCCGGTAATACTATTTTTTTCAGGATTTATCTTTGATTAATAAAGGATTATCATTACAACAATTGTGCATAATCGCTCTCATTCAACTATCTATTTGTAACCTCTAACAAAATTCATCATCTAAATACATGAGAATTGTGTGGTATGTATGTAAATGCCCCCAACAATATAAGACCAAAGTAAGGTTTTAGATTTTTTTTTCCACCTTCGGTTCAATCACACAAAAATCAGCTTAGATATAATCCAAACCAGTAATCTAATCCTATTAACACATTACAAAGATTCAAAATTTCAGTATAAATAAAAAGAATAAACCTCTAAATCGATTATATTATGGTTCCTCTAGTTATGAGTCGTGACAATGAAAATGCAAGGATGGGGAGGTTAATACTGGGAGGAAAACGGTCGGTCCTGTTAGTCTATTCTTGGATGGGAAGGAACATTCTAGGTTGAGAGCACTTTTACCGGAGAGTTGCGGCTGCCGGCCTCCTACAGGGGCCGAGGGGAGGGGAGGAGGAAACAGAAAGAAACAGGGGCTACAGCAGGTATACCTCCTTGCTGGGTGCCCTTGAAGCTCGACAGAGATCTTCCAGGATCAGCAAGCACCGCCGCCGACACTCGACGCTTGCAGCTCACCGTCCCGCTAGTACGCGCCCTAACTAATTCCTTTCGAGGGGACGAGCATGGAGTATGCGAAATTTTTCCCTCAGGTCCCGTATGAGCGGGCCAGCCCGACTTGTAAAATTTTACTTATCATCCTGCCTCCCTCTTTTTTTTTTTTTTTTTTTTTTTTTTTTTTTTTTTTTTTTTTTTTTCATCTTAATATTTTTGCTATTATGCCTTCAGAATACAGTAAAAAATTTCTATTCTGCATAATACAGTAAAAAAAAAGATTTCAAAAAGTATTTTTTTTACTCTATTAGGGTTTGGTCGCTGCATTTATGATGGAGATAGATTTCTCCCTTAATGAAGAGTTAGAGCACATGGATGACGAGATCAATGTCAACGCGTTTGAAACGGAGGTAAAATTTCTTGCTTACTTGAATTCGTTTCCTGTTTTCCGTTTTCCAATTTTTTCTTCGATTGTCATGAGTTTTTTTTTATTATTTTCAAGGGTTTAGGGTTTACTTGTATGCGGGTATATTGAAGAAATACTCAATAACCCGAGAATAACCCAACAATAACCTTAGAATAACTCGAGAAAAAGTAACATACCAGCTCTTTCAAAAAACAATGAAATATTCTGAGAATCTTCGATTGTTGTGAGGTCATTTTTTTATTATTCAAGGGTTTAGGGTTTACTTGTATGCGGGTATATTGAAGAAATACTCAATAACCCGAGAATAACTCAATAATAACCTAAGAATAACCCGAGAAAGTAACCTACCAACTCTCTCAAAAAAAGTAAAATGTTTTGTGAATCTTCGATTGTCGTGATGTTATTTTTTTCATTATGTTGTGGTTAGGGTTTATTTATCTTCTAGTACATTGAAGAAATACTCAATAACCCGAGAATAACCTAACAATAACGTAAGAATAACCCGAGAAAGTAACCTACCAGCTCTCTCCAAAAAAGTGAAATATTGTGTGAATATTTGATTGTCGTGAGGTTTTTTTTTTCATTATTTTGTGGTTAGGGTTTATTTATTTTCGGGTACATAGAAGAAATACTGAATAACCCGAGAATAACCCAAAAATAACCTAAGAATAACCCGAGAAAAAGTAACCTACCAGCTCTTTCAAAAAAATGTGTAATAGTTATAGGGTGTGTTCTTTTCTGAATATATGACTATCTCTATGGTATAATTCAAATTTGTAGTTATCTGGGCCAGAAACATATTGCAATGATCCAATTGCTCGTAGCTTTTTTAATATTATTGTCTGTAATGAGGAAGAGGCTTACAAACATTATTGTGCTTATGCATATTATGTTGGTTTCACTGTACGCAAGGACCGCACAACTTATTGGGCAAAATCCAAACAAATTAAGTCGAAGGATTATATTTGTGGAAAATCAGGTCATAAAAGAGAATCGCAGCTAGCCACTACTGTGAAGTATAGAAAAGCGGATACAAGGACTAGTTGTCAAGTAATGGTTCGCCATGCTATTGATCTTGATGGCAACTGGACCATAAAGAAATTTGTTGAAAGTCATAACCACCCCTTGGCGGAATCCGGTGACAAGCACCTTCTACGTTCCAATCAGAGGATTAGCGAGTTAAATGCAAATTTGTTGAGATCAATTACAGGTTCTGGGAATAGAGCAGTGGATGCATTTAATTTCCTTGCTATAGAGGTTGGTGGAGTTAAAAACTTGGAGTGTACGAGGCAAGATGCATACAACTTCATTCAAATGGATAAAAGAAGTAGAATTGAACTGGGTGATGTCAACTCTCTCTTACAATTATTCACGGAGTGCCAAAATGAAGATAACATGTTTGCATGGGATTTTCAAAGTGATGAGGAGGGCAGACTTACAAGCTTTTTCTGGAGTGATGGGTCTTGCAGACTAGATTATGACTGTTTTGGAGATGTCATCATTTTCGACACTAGCTACCATTTGAATAAGTATAATTTATGTTGTGCTCCTTTCGTATGGATTAACCACCATCGGCAAAATGTTCTATTCGGAGTTGGTTTTTTATCTGATGAGATGATAAAATCCTTCAAGTGGTTATTCAAAACCTTCATTTGTATAATGGATGATAAGCATCCAATTACAATGTTTACAGATCGGGATCAAGCGATGACAAGAGTCATTGCATATTGTTTTCCATTCACAAGACAGATTATGTCAATGACATATCTATAAGAAAGTATCGTCGAAAGTTCATTGTGGTGTGACGTATAAGAGTGTTAACAATCTATTTTACAAATGCATAAGCAAGTGTGATTCGGAAGAGGAGTTCAAAGTTACTTGGGCTCTAATGATCGAGCAAGGAAACCTGCACAAACCTGCACAAAACCTGCACAACAACATGTGGCTAGATGCATTGTACCGTATAAGACATAACTAGTCAACTGCATTCAATAAAGAAATTTTCCGAATGAGAATCTTATCTACGCAAAAAAGTGAGTCCACAAATAATGTCTGTCATTGTGCATCTAAGTCCACTAGTTCCCTCACAGATTGCTTTCTGGGTCTAGAAAATATTATGAAGTCACGGAGAAGGAACGAAATGGATGAAGAATTCAAAAGTTTTCAGAATGTTATTACACTGATAGTTAAAACAAGCCCAGTGTTGAGGCAAGCTCTACTCTATGTTTCTACTCTATGTTTGAGGTGTTTGAGGAAGAGTTACTTCATGGGCTATGTGGATTGACTGTCGATTACTCAGTTGAGAGTCCATCCGAATTCTATGTTAGAGGTTTGGATAATCAGGACACGAGTAGAACCTAGCTTGTTACATTTGATAGGTTTAATTGCGACATCATCTGCAGTTGCAAGAAATTCAAAATGACGGGTCTACTTTGCTCTCACTCTATACGCGTCCTTAATGCTAACAATATAACAAAGATTCCTGAGAAATATTTGTTATTCAGATAGTCTGCTAAGGCAAAGAAAGATATCTATAATAGTTTTTGATACAAACATATGAAAGACTCTCAGGCTCAAATGTCTGACACAACTTCCAGAGGAATCCTATTTCGGTCACATGCTCAAAAGTTTGTTTACCAATTAATTAATAAAGCTCAAGGAAATGAATGCGTCGAAACATATATAATTGAATTATTGAAAACAGGGTCTGAAGGTATTAAGGATATATTAGATGTGAAGGATCCTAAATCAAATAGACCAAACAAAAAAAGGAAATCTCATAACAATGACTGCAATGTGAATGATCCCGCAAAAATGAGACTGAAAGGTATTTCTAATGCAATGTTGAAAGGATACTAGGAAAAAAACAAGAGAGTCAAATGTATATATTTATACATTCATATATTTACCATTCTATATTCCATGTATTTATGATTATATGCAAATTAATTGTCTTATACTTTTACCACTGTATGCAGAAAAAAATCAAGAAACATATACGAGTCAAGAACCGCACATCCATTACGATGCAAATACGATTACAGTGTCACACTCTCTGAGTCAACAAATTGTCATACCGGATCCAACATGCTTTGTGCCCAATATAATTCACTTGTTTTAATGTGTTGTGCCCACTTTAACTCATCTGTATTAATGTACTAGTTCATATAACATTATTCCAAATGAAAGTTGTAGATGTATGTTTTGTAATTCATCTGTATGTTGAGTATAGAATTTTGTTATCTGATTGTGTACTATGATTGTGTAACCCAATTATAACCTAACAATACTCCAACAATAACCTAACATTACCTCAATAATAACCTAACATTACCTCAACAATAACCTAACAATACTCCAACAATAACCTAACAATAACCTAACAATACCCCAACTGTAACTTAACAATACATCAACTATGACCTAACAATACCCCAAGAATGACCTAACAATACCCCAAACAATAACTCAACTGTAACCTTACAACACCCGACTGTAACCTAACAATACCTCAACAATAACCTAACAATACTCCAACAATAACCTAACAATACTCCAATAATAACCTAACAATACCCCAGTCGTAACTTAACAATACATCATCCATAAATTAACAATAACCCAAGAATAACCTAATAATACCCCAAACAATAACTCAATCGTAACCTTACAACACCCCGACTGTAACCTAACAATATCTCAACAATAACCTAACAATACCCCAACAATAACTTAAAAATACATTCACCCCTGCAACATTGAAATTATCAGGCGTAGTCATCCAGGTGGTTCAAACAGTCATCCCTGCAATATTCAGCATATAAAACATGTAGTCACAAACATTCACCCTTACAACTCTCAGCGCATCAAACATACAATCATTCAACAGTTTAAACATTTAGCCTTGCAATAAGATATCAAATAGATATACATTCCGCATTTCAAACACAATAGACAATCATATAGACCAAATCCGAGGCTTATAAGCCTGCCAAATTTTATAGTCATTCAGCCTGTAAAACATAAAGACAATCAAAGTTCCGAGATACATTTATCCTCCAAATAATTTATATCTACAAATTTCATATAGTAGCTCTGTCCTAAATCGAGGCATATCAGCCTGCCAGTCTTGATGGTCTTTCCATTTAATATTGTCTTTCTGTACAATTGCTTCCACATATTTTCAAACAAATATACCGCAGTCGATGCTATTACTTTGTGTGGGAATGCCTCTTGTCGTGATAACATCCTAATTACTCGGGACACTGCGGAAAGCTTTCCCGACGGCCTTACAAAGATGTCTTATCTGGTAATACAAATGGTAGTTTAAAACAGTGAAAGAATAAACAGTTTATGTCAGTTCTTAGTTAGATAAGGCTTAGAATTTTACCACGCCGCGGGTGACTCCCAAATGCATTTTATTAGGCAATGAGCCATAGAATCTCCACTTGCGGTCCTTCTGGTTCCCAACAAGTAGAGTTCAATGCCTATTATTAATTATTGAAACTAAAATTACCTCTGCTTGAGATACAACTTTCACTGTGACGTGGGCAACAATATCTCACATAGGATGGTATCTGAACCCCTGCATATACAAAATAAATGAGTTTAAAAGAGCATGAACAACTCACATTGATGAGAACTTTAATACTTACCCAATGTGCCGGAGAGACGTACAAATAGGGTCTAAAAGAATCAGGGGACTGACGCCTATGGTTATCTAATCCAATGGCAAACATATCTACATGTTCTACCCCAACTTCTTTATTATCCCAAAGTGCTTCAAGGATTTTGACTTATATGAATGTGGCCCTGAGCATCCCTGCATATTAATTGAACAATTTTTCTTAGATTTAGTAAACAGTTGACAAAAAAGTGTTCTGTTTTTACCTATCATTCTTTGTATTTTTTTAAACAAGTATCTATCACCTCTTGCATGTGTGATGATAATAGTTCTCTGCCGAAGAACTCTACGGCTGAACAAGGGAGGACACCTTCGTATGGAACAATTGCTCCCGGCTGTACCTCCTCCCAAGCTTCTTCAGCCTCCTTTCCCTTAGTTTCAGCGAGCCATGGAGATGGTATGGTAATCGGCATAGAAGAATCATAAATATGTTGTAATAAATCATTTATCTTAGAGGTAGGAAGTTCTTCCATTTTCTTTCTCTTTACAACAACAAATGGAGAATTAACTGTCTTTTTTTTTTCTCGATCCTCAGGACTTGATCCTTCGAACTAAGCTACCAATTGGGTCTTTAGGGATGCCTTCTCCGGGTTCCCCGACACCTTTATTTATTTTACTATCAGCTGCAGCTTCATCGAAGATAGTCATTCTACCTATCGGTTGTTTTTCTTCAAGAATATTGGGCCCCCACTCATGTTCCCACGCTTCCTCAATATGAGCAGGTGATTGTTCTTCCTTTTCTAGGCTTTCTTTCTTCCCAGTAAATTCAGAACCTATAGGAGATTCCATGAGAAATTTATTTATTTTTTTCTTTATTTCCTTGATGTCGGTCTTCACCTCCATCATTGTTTACTCCATACTAGCTTTTAGGTTATTTACAGAATCCTTCAATTGACATAAAAATTGATGTTGCTCCCTCAGAGTTTGCCATATCTCTTCAAAACCCAAATGTGAATGTGTATGTGGTGGGATGTTGTGAGTCTGTACAAAAGAAATAGCACCATGAGACTCTGGTGTTGTTGGATGAGTGTGAATTTCGAGTTCTCCAATGGACTTTGCAGGAGACAAGATCGAGCCAACTAGAGGGGCAAGTAAACTGTGCTCCTCATCTATTAAATCAACAAAAGAATCAAGAACCTACAAAAACATTCATTATAAGAATTAAATAATATACTCAAAACCAAACATAATCCTGAACTTATAACAAACATTAATATTATTCACCTGTACAAGACTAAGCTTCTTAAAGATTAAATGGATCCTTAGAGGGTTCCACCCTGTATTTATTGGCCACTTCAACATTCGGGGTCTGGCATTAGGATAAGCTGGGGCTATCACAAGTGTGCGCTCATAAAATCACAGCTGCATAATTACGATTAATAAATCAGAAATTCATATAACCCAAATAAGATAAAAATTAATTTTTTTTGATTGAGGTTGGGCAATATACTAACCGTTAGAAGAAAAACAAACTCATTCATGTATCCTAATGGCTGACCCATCCTTATTTTGATGGCGCAAGTATTGACCTGCTCAAACAGGTGGTCACATACTGTTGCGGCTCAATTAAATGAAGACAAACTATCTAGATTCTCAGCAAATGAATAGAGCCCTGTGAGTACACTAAATTGCTGGAAGGAAATAATAAATTAGACAACAAAAATTTAATAATAAGTTCATCATGAATAGAGCCCTGTGACTTCACATTAAGCTCTCTTAACACGGGTCACGTGCACACAATCATTGCCCTTACATGTGCCTGTAATGCTCGCCAAAGTCCTTACACATTTGACTACCTCCCTAAAGTCTCCCACAACTTCCCTGCCTCTTGCTCAATCACTCTCTCATTTCTCTCCTAATAAAACTCAAGACAATTAGGAAGAAAATTATGTCATATTGGTTTGGTGCAGAACTTTAGACAAATGCCAGATATTATGAATAAAGAATGACTCATGCATGGGACCAAGCTCTCAGGTAACATGAGTTTGTATTTAATAGCACGGTAAATAGATTTAGATGAAATTTTCCATATTCTTTATAGTATGATAGGAAACCTAATTCTTTAGTCAATTTTATTAAGCTACCACCTAGATGAAACAGAAGTGTAGTGATGTAGATATCACAACTACACCAAGAATAAAATAGTAGGTATAGAATTCAAATGATAAGTATTAACTTTAAATCATTAGTCATCATTGCAAGAATATTTTTTATGAATGAGATCTACTTATGATTAGTTTAAATAATTATCAATATTATGGTAGCGCATATCATCAATTACAGATTGAGAAATTAATTAATTTTTAATAGAAAAGAAATAGCAACAATGCATATACTATAGATCTACTAATAGTTAAAGTTTACAGAAAAACCTACAACATTTAAAATAATCTTGGAATGTCATGCTCTGCTCTTAACTTTTTGCTGGACAACAACGCTGAATTTTTGTGTTTATGTCATTTGGGTTCTTTCTGTCAAGAGTTTTTGGGGTCACATGTATTTTTTTCGGTGTGCTATACCTTAGTGTTTTATTTTGTGTGGAGTTGTAATGTGGAAAGAGGATCTCCTAGGACTTTAATGTATTTTTTTGCTTTTAGATGGAGATTCACTTTCCCTTTCTATTTTTGTAACACCTTTTTATATTAACACGTAGGGAACCACAAGTTGCTATTTTAATTTATATATATATATATATACCTATACCATTTTGAGTTGTTTTTTTTTTTTTGGCTGCATCATTATTTTTTGAATTAGTGGCATTTTTATTCTTTGGATAGAATTTGATTTGGAGATAAGTATTAGGAGGAGAAGAAGTAATTCAAGGATATACTCATTTTTTGAATAAAATGAAACAGAATATGGAAAAGTTCCTTGAAGATGAATTCTTCGATCTAATTTGCTTCGTAAGTTGCTGTCCTATTAAATATTATCATCATACTTATGAAGCAAGTGGCCTTTTGATGAAACCATCATTTTGACTCAACAACCAAGGAGGGTTATGGATGGCTAAATTATATTTGGGCATGTAGAGTCATGCATTTAATCTCACTATGGTCTTATGTTTCAAGTACCCTTAGATGTATGGTCGTGGCGCGAGTAGCTGGGCAGAGCATCCGACGAAAGGAAGAGATAAAAAGAGGTGGCCGGACGTGGGCCATTTGAAGTCGTAGGGTCCAATAGCATCCCAGATACTGATTACGGTGGATTGGGAATTGAGATAAGGTACTAGCGATAGAGAGCAGGACTTATCCCAACAGATCCCACCCTCCAATCTCCAAAAGATCAGAGTGCCAACGGTCAGATGCCATCCGCAGATGAAGACCACAAAAATAAAAATATGGCGTCCCATGCGATGTAATGGAGTAGTACAAATTAAGGCTGAAAGCATCGCCGGCCACCACTGCAACTAATTAAGCCGCTGAAGTAAAGTTGTTCGGCCAAGCGGGGTTGAAGCTAATAGTTTTGATGAAGATGGCTGCCATATTCAGCACCCAGGCGTCGCTGGCCACTCCGCGGCCGAGATTCTTGACCGGCTCCTCCGGCAAGCTAGGCCGTGTGGCAGGGCCGGCCACCACTGCATCCTTCACCAGTGCTACTGTTCCCTCCCTCAAAGTAGAAGCCAGGCAGGCGGAATGGCTCCCAGGTCTCTCATCCCCGTCCTACCTCAACGGCAGGTAAATTCACACAACATTGATATCTCATCCATATCATATTTTTCTTAAAATAAGAACGATCGGATTGGGCGATTGTGTGGGTGCAGCCTGCCGGGGGACAACGGGTTCGACCCTCTGGGGCTTGCGGAGGACCCGGAGAACCTAAGATGGTTCATTCAGGCGGAGCTGGTGAACAGCCGTTGGGCGATGCTTGGGGTTGCAGGGATGATTCTTCCTGAAGTTCTAACAAAGCTGGGGTTCATCAACGCCCCCCAATGGTACGACGCCGGCAAAGCAGAGTACTTCGCCTCCTCCTCCACGCTCTTCGTCATCGAATTCATTCTCTTCCACTATGTGGAAATCAGGCGTTGGCAGGACATAAAGAACCCGGGGAGCGTGAATCAGGATCCCATATTCAAACAATATAGCCTGCCTCCAAATGAGGTGGGATATCCAGGGGGAATCGTCTTCAACCCGCTCAACTTGAAACCCACGCTGGAGGCCAAAGAGAAAGAGCTTGCTAATGGGAGGCTGGCCATGCTGGCGTTCTTGGGCTTCATCATACAGCACAACGTCACCGGCAAAGGCCCGTTTGATAATCTGCTGCAGCACCTCTCTGACCCATGGCACAACACCATCATTCAAACCTTCACCCGTTGATCCATGATACATACTATCCGGATAGTATGCAGCTCCATCCTCTCCTCTCTCTCTGTTCGATCTCTGACGTGTCTTTTTCTATTTTTTGGTGTGTTTTTTCCCCTTTTTTTTCACTGAAAATCTTTCTGGGATTAAGTCATAATTGTGATCGATGGGTTCTTAAAACAAGTGATAAATGCAGCACAGTCTGTACATACTTTGAAATTAACGCGAATCACTGCTCCGTTGTCAGCGTCTTAATTTGTACCCCAGACTCTCTTTAATCGTTTAAGTTGGGCTTCGTTCGCGCTAGGCCGGTTCAATTCTTAAAAATGGCTCATATTTGTGCGATTGTTGATTTTTTTTTTTCCTTTTTTTTTTTTTATTAATCGTTAGATTTAATATCACAGGACGATTGTTCTACTCAAAAGTATGAAAAAGCCAAAATTCATCCACGATTGTTCCGAAGGGTGCAATAATAATAATTCATTCTTGGGGGTCTGACTTCTAAAGAAAAACTTATAAATTAATAAAGATATTTTGATGGATAAATTATGATAACTTTGTAATAATGCATATGAGACTCATTCACAACTCTTCTCTGAATATGAGACTAAATGAACAACTCGAACTCGACTCAATCAAAACTCAATCATGTTTGTATAAATTTGTATATGAACAAGCTTGAGCATATTTTAAAGGCTCAAGGTTAAATAAAATAAACAGGTTAAATAAGCTAAACTTGAATATAGTCAAACTTATTTTTTTTTTTTTATGTTGATGAATAAATTCAACTATTCTGATATGTAACTTGTTAAATATTCAATATTAAACATTTTATGTTGATGATAGTATCATATTTGATATTATTTTAATAAAATTTGTTTAATTAGAACTTACTTAATTATAGATATTAAGGTAATATTATTATATCAATAATATTTTAAGATTAATTATTAATTATATCGTCATTTTATTAATTATATATTTTTAATATAAATAAATTAAGTTAATTCATTCTCTTGTTTATTTATATCTAAAAATTATTTATAGACACACACACACACACTGTGTGACTAAGAGGAAACAATGAATGAAGAAATATGGAAGGTTGTGGTGGTAGAGGAGGAACACTGTCACTTGGACGTGACATAAGTTTCATTGAACTTAGTGGCGAGATTAATATCAAACCACACTGGAAAACTTTAGGATGAGATAAGAGACCATGACGTAGTGGTGTTGAAAGATAGTGGAGCCACCCAAAACTTCATCTCTACTAAAGTAGTGAAGCATTTGAGGCTTGAGGTGTTTAAAACATGAAATTTTAGTCATGATGGGAATTAACCAAGTGAAGAAGAGCAACAGAGTTTGTAAAGGGGTGATTTTAACACTAAAAGGTATTGAAGAATTTTTATCCCTCATATTTAAGGAGTAATGACATGATATTAAGTATGAAATAGTTGCAGCTCTTAGGGAAGACTAAGATAAATTGAAAATCCTGCCAATAGAATTCCAGAAGGGAGACATGATGGTGGTGCTTCGTGGTAACCTTAGCTTATGCAAAACCATTATGACACTCAAGTCCATGGTTAGGGATACAGGACAGGTTGGGATTCTTGATAAAGTTGAATAGCATGAAAGAGACATGACCCAGAGTTGGTTTAGATTCTGATACCGATCAAATAACTCCTACAATAATTTGCATAATTTTTTCAATTGTCACGCGGATTGCCAACTCGGAGGGAGCATGCGCATGCAATAATTATGAGACGGGGTTTCTCACATCAGTGTGAACCCAAACCACTACCTCTATGGTTTCAATTCAACACTAAGAGAGCTTGTAGAATCTTGAGGTAGAAATGGAAGCTATCAAATTAAAGAGATTGAGCTTAAGCTTCACGTAGACTTAAAAAAAGGCATGTTGACAACACTTTGCAATGATATAAAACTACCATTATTGTACTTAGTGAAAGTGATAGATGTGCCTTATATGGGAATTTTGGGGAAAACAATATGTGGCTAGCAGTAGAAAAGGAGATGTTTTTTGCATCTTACGGATGGAGATTGGACGACTATCATGAATTGGATTGACAGTGTGAAACATGTTTTAGAGTATTTTACAGAAAGAAAACTCTGAAGAGGATTTCTGTAGTTTAAAAAGTTGCACCAAGAATCGACAAATGGGAAAAAGTGAAGATTAAATAGAAATAATTGCCTTGTGATGGCAAATGGAGGCCACAAGGGTTGATTCTGTAGCAGTTTACTCTCTTCCACCTTGAGGAGAAAGTGTTTTTTATTTATTTATTATTTTTTATTTTTTTTTTAGGGGAATAGTATTAGACCAGCGCCTACGACATTATACGCCTCGTGGTCCACTCAGTCGATGCCCAACCAACTAAATAATTTGAAGACTTGTATTAGGAGCACGACTAAAAAGACAATTTAGTAATCAATTATTTATTATTGTGGGGTACAAAAAAGGCTTAATATGTTTAGGGTTAGGTTATATGTTATTATTGCCTTGCTTTTTAGGGTTAAATTTTGGAAGAGAATCACTTACACCTCAAATTGTAGGTATTTTTCTTTTATGCATTCGGAATTGTATCATTTTGATTTAGTACCGACAAAATAAAATCAATTATTTCTGCTCTAATTTTTGTTAAAACTTATCTAGTTCCTATTAGAAAATGAGACACAAAGCTTTAGCCGAGCATGATCGACTTATAATATTACCAAGCCAAATTTAATCTATAATATACTCAGCTCAACTCAACTCAATTACAACCTTGTGTCCTATATTGATGATTAATTTTAGATCCAGTATACTTGATGGATCATTTTACTTATCAACTACAATTTTCTTCAAATTTTAAGTTGCGCAGAAAACATAGCAGAAAGTTTCTTATAAAAATTTTCTTCTCAATATTTAATTTGCGGTATACTACATTTGGAATTTTGGATAGCGAGATAATATCATTTGAATAATTGTAAATATATAATTTTGAAGATTTATGAGCAGATTAATAAGGCTATCATGTTGAAAAGCAGTCAAGTGAAAAGATAGATTTTCTAAGAATTGTTCTCTCATCCCTTCCTATTAATATTCACAGCTACTATTAAAATCAGGCCCAACCCTTTATGTCTTTAATTGTTATGTACCTATGAAGAAACTTGAAAATGGAAAGAAATGGTGAACCTTTTAGGGGAAAAAGAAAACATAATTACAATAGAGATTTCTTAATGATCGGGACAAATTGTAAATTAACTAGAGCAAAAAATCTGACATAATAGATTCAAAATATGCAGTGAAAGTACATCCATGCTCTAGTTTCAGCTACTAAACTTAGATCTTTACACACTCTCTTCCCCCTCCTTGATGATGTAAATTAATAATTCAAAATAATAATAATAATAATAAAATAAAAGTTTCGCCTGAAAATAACTCTGTAAAACTAAATGAGTGTAAGAAAAATAACAGATTCCGCCTTCTTTGATAAATTTATAAAGATATATAATAGAGATGAACAAAAGCATGTCTTCAATGAGTGCAGGGAAAGCTAAAAATTCCCGATGAACGGTACAAGATTACTTTTGCTCCCCGGCAAAATATTAGAAGATTTTGTTTCTAGAATAAAAGCATTTCCTATGTTGTTAACAATTAGCTCTCTTTCCTTTAAATGATAGAACGAATCTATCGTCGTGCTTTAAAGCTGAAGCATTAATATTTTTCGAATCAGAATAAAAGAAAAAGCACCAGTTCCAAGTAAAGAACGTTTTATAGAAAAAATCCATTAATGCGGACAGAATGATTAAGAAGGAATGATAATATACTGAACATGTAGAGATGGTCATCTTCAAGAAGCCTGCAAGACACATCAGTGAATGTCATACAGAACCCTAACCAAAAGTGATTTGGCATCATAGGCTGAGATGTCCCAAAACTTCTAGGATGCTCCGCTGAATCTTCTTCATGCACGGATCATCTATGTGCATTAAAGATAGGTCTGAGTTCACAAGCAACTAACTCCAAAAATAGTTCTAATATAAAAGACAAATAAGCAATTTATACAAATCAAGTTTTCATAACAGGAAGCTGATGAAAGTGTTGAACTTAAAATAAAGAGGTTTTCCTACCTCAATCTCCCAGCCTCATCACAAATCTCTTGAAATAAATAAATAAACATAGATAAAATGAGCTTTTCAACACTAATTGTTCTAACATCTTCATTGATCTTAGACTCTTTGTCCAGATCTCTTCATAAATGATATCCATGTCCTTGAGATGATTTGAATGAATTATTCAATAAACATTCAGATTGGTAAATTATGAAAAGTTCGGAACGTGAATTAAAAGTGCAAGAAACAAAGCCAGCATTAATATATA